ACATTAAGTCTGCCCCTCAGCTCCCCCCTCCCACTCCTGGCATTTCCCACAGACAGGGAAACTGAGGCACAGCCGAAGGTCTCGCGGCAAGTCCTTGCTGCGAACAGATGCCAGGTGCCCTGGCTCCCAGTCCAGTTGCTCTAACCACTGCGCCGCTCTGCCTGCCTTTGTGTTACAGTCCCCATTTCCCTGCCGAGGAAGCGTAGGGGCAGCGTGGGGACGGGACGTGCCCAGGGGCACAGAGCTGGGTGTGGTCAGTGCAGGTCTCCTGACTGCCACTCCTGCACGGAGCACCCACATCACATCCAGTGTTACCCCCACTTTACCCCTCTGCCCCCCCCCCATCAGACCCCGCAGCCACCCTCCAGCCCTGCCCGGCATGCAAGTGACCAGGGATGAACGGACAAGCCCTGCCTGCTGGGCTCAGTGTGCTGAACCCCACTTCAGCAATCCCTGGCACACAGAACACCTGGCTTCTGTCTCAGGAGTGTCCCGGGGGGGGTGTCATGTCTCCCACTCCGTGCCTCAGTTTCCCCTCTTGCCCCTTTTGTCTGCCCGTCTGTTCAGAGCAGAAGCCCCCCAGGGCGGGGGCTATTTCTCCAAGTAGTCACAGGGCTTAGCCCCACGGAAGCGCTTGCTCTCCAGCAAGGCCTCCGAGTGCTCCCGTAATGCTACCAACAAGCCGGACCCCCGGACTGCAAAGAGCAGCTGGGGAAGTCAGCCCTAGCAGCCAACTTCTGCAATGGCCCCAGGTTGCTGCTGCCTGGTCCTGATGCTCGGGGAGAAGGAAATGAAAGCGGACGAAGAACCTACGCCGAGCACAGCGAAGGCCGCCATCTGGGGCTACGAAGCCTCCTCGGCCCCCTGGGGAAAAGCTCTTGACCCCGCCCCAGGTGGGAATCTCTCGGCACCGGACACCAAACGCAGGGGCCTTTGCCCTAGCTTCCGAGAGAGCCGCCCTGCCTGGAGAGCTATCAGAGCCCCTTTGCCCAGGGGAGGGGACAGGCCAGACGCCCGGAGGAAAGGGGGGCTCACCTGGCACTCGTGGCTGCTCTCTGAGACAGACCTTGGATCAGCTGCCTGCCCGAGCGGAGACCAGAGGCGGGATGCTGCACCACCGCTCGGCTGCCA